TTCTAGTGCTGGCTGATAGCGCTGGTAGTGCTGGTGGTGCTGGTAGTGCTGGTAGTGCTGGGCAAATGTCAAACCTGGACAACGGTTTCTACAGCAATTGTAGTGCGACTGTTACACAGATGAAACCTGTCAGAAAAAAATTGAGAATACCACCGGGGCGACCCAGTGGTGTTAGTAATGGAAAGCAAAGAAGGCGGAAAGAAAAAGGAAAGAAAAGTCCACAAGAGGGGACCGATGGAGACACCTCAATTCTGTGTGGTCTTTGGAGATGTGGTCTCCGACTTGGGTCCTCTGGTGGCTCTGGTGGTCCTCTTCCTCTCTGGACTGCTTCGGTGATGAGACAGGCACGATCCATGCATCGGCCAGCGAAAAAGGGAGTGTAAGGACGCTGATAGGCGGGGGGTTGCTGAGCAGCGGCTAGCGTTTATAATGGCGGCAAGGGAGTCCCGGCAACGAGGATGAGTATGAGTTAGTAGATAGTATACTGAAGGTACATACTGTACGGGTACCTACCGAACTCTCGACTTACTATACATACATCTGTACTGTACGAGTACATAACCTAATTCCCCAGCAACTGTACGTACCGGTAGGCAAAAAAAATCCAGATCCAGATGGAGAAATTTTCTGCTCATCAGAAAATTCGAAAAGGAAAAACGTCAAATGCAAAAATTAAATATTGCAGGAAGAATATTGGATGGATCTTCTTTTTTGCCCCGAACTGGTACCTACAGGTGTCAGGTCAGTAGTATGAAGTCAATTGCTATAAGGCACTGGGAAAAGAATACTAGGTACTAGGCAGTGAAGGATGGGGAAACTCCTCTCTCCCCCCCCCCCACAGCAGGGCAACCTGGAAGGACTAGGACTAGAAAACTAGTTTCATGAAAGCAGGGGAAGATTCAATAAGGATGGAAGCATAGAAGAAAGGGAAGAAACGCACTACTCGTCCTCGTACCAAGGCCTGAGGCCTTATGCGGTCATTCATTCATTCATTCATTCATTATTCAATCATGGATTGGTTTTCGACCCCCAAACCGGTTACCTAGATTGGTGACTAGTACTAAACCTACCTTACTATGTAACTACTAAGTATGAATACTAGGTACCTCTGAGTACATGTACCAGTTAGTTACTTACTGTACTCCTCCGTAGTGGTTTCTGACACAACCAAAAGCCCCAAACCAAACCCAGCCCAGCCCAGGAAGCACTAAACCCATCGTCGCTTAAGCTCTTTCTCGAGTATCTGGAGATCCCTCCCCACTTTTGCGTTGCCATTGCAACAAGGGCATCCCTTCAGCTTCACTTTCTCCATTGTCTTTTTTCTTCTTCTCTTCTTCTTCTCCTTCTCTTCTTTCTCTACCCCAGATAGCTCTCCTCCTTCTTCATAAGAGCCTCTGTCCTTCCGTTGCATCGCATTCTCATGCTTCAGGTCCGATCCCGTCTTCAGCCCTCGTCCCTTCGGTAACCTTTCCCTCCCAGTGCATTAGCGTACCATATCTATGCTGCCAATCCCCCTCTTCGTTCACCACCACCACACCACCTCCACTACCCCTGGTACTGGCTGAGATCTCTCGACGATTGCTGACTTGATCCTGTCGTATCTTTAGCCCTTCCTCCCGTCCGGCCTACTTCCTGTTTCAACCTATATCCTATCCGAAAGCACCTTGATCTAGTTCCCCTCAGCCAGCCATGTCGCTTTAGACGCTTGTCCCCTGTCTGCGAGAGAAGTCTGGGTACAGGCTGGTTAGCTGAAACAATATCATACAAGCCGGTACCACAATATCTGAGGTTGGGACTCCCGCTTTGACAGTTGGGAGACGAAGGAGAAAAAGAGGAGCTGGGTGGTGGTCAATCTAGATCGGCTCCCATTGTCCCCGCATCTGCCGTGCATTGCATACAAGGGGGAGAGACACTCGCCGCGTTTTGACGACTAGTGATCGACTTGGAACCAATCCGTGCGTGTGAATGATCGGCAAGGAAGAACTACAAGGAACCTGGGCTGGCTACAATGGAACACTCGTCCCCGTTGGCTGCAATGCAGCCGCCGTCTGTGATGTTCGGCCACTGCTTTCGTCCCGATGCCTCGACAGCCTATGCGTCGTTCAGTCCCATGGCTGGATTGGCACATAACACCTTCAACTTCAAAGACCTGTCCATGAAGAAGCCCCATGGGGATTACTTCAATGTGAAGCCTGTGCGGGGCTCATCACCAACTGCGAGTCTTGCGGCCGACCTCTCTCAGAATTTTCATATCGATCAAAGGTCTGTCGCATGCCGTTGGTCTTTGTTAGGCCATGTGTGTGTTCATGGACAAAGGGTTCGCTGACCAAAAATAGTCCGCAATTGGCGACGCCCCGGCGGTCTTTGTTCTCCTCGAGCCTGCTGGGAAAAGCCAATCGGTGTGGTAAGTGATACTCACTTCATGTGTTCAAAACGTACTATAAGCTCACAATTCTTTTTTTCTGGTTTCGATAGAGTCAATGACCACACCACCGCTTCCCTCCTCGCCAGCTCCCATGATGGACGCCATGGAAATGTCTCCCTTGCCGCACAAGCCAGCATTCGGTTTGGTCAATGAAGTCGAGCTGGAATCGCCCTCTCTGGACTCTTCGATGGATACACCTATGCTCTCGGCCGCCCCGAGCCCATTGGAAGAGTCGCCGCTGGTGAACTCGAAAGACGGTCTACAAGAGTAAGAAAGGCAGCCCAAGACTGGAGTCCTTACAGGCCTACGTGGATCTAATCACATGGTTGTCTGTAGGAGAAAGCGTCCAACGTTTCTACGGCCGAGTTTAGCACGGAGCAAAGCACAGAGTTTCCAATTAGGAATGAACAAGCCGGCCCCAGAGAGTCAAGCCCCGCCATTCAAATTCCAGAGCCGGGGAAACAGGACGTCGCTCAGCGCATCTGCTTCGTTGGAGGATATGTTTTGCGAGTCACCCCAAAGAGAACGTCCGTCGTTGAAGAACCACTCGACCGGCAATTTGTTGAGCAGCACTCGTCTCAAACCACCATTTGGCAGTAGCAACAGCCACGTCCGTGGAAATGGATCTCCGTCCGCGGCGTCGGTCCGCAAGAATTCCCACCCTACGATGCGCCCACGAAAGCAGTGTAGACGTTCGTTGAGCATGTTTGAGCATCCCGAGGATGTAGTCGTCGAAAAAGAGGCAACTTTAGTTACAAATGCACCACTCCCGTCGATCATCGACATTGAAGGACCCCCCAGCCTGCAGCTTCCTCACGTCTTTTCGGAGGACCAGGCAGATACATTGCCTCGTATCGACAAAAACATCCTGGTGGAGCTCTTGGATGGAAAATACAACGATCGTTTTGATAACGTTATGATTATCGACTGCCGCTTTGAATATGAGTATGAGGGAGGCCATATCACTGGCGCTGTCAACTACAACGACAAGGACCACCTGGCCGCTGAGCTCTTCACCTCACCCAAGCCGCGGACAGCCTTGATCCTCCACTGCGAATATTCGGCCCATCGCGCCCCGATTATGGCCAAGTACATTCGTCACCATGATCGTGCTTTCAACGCGGATCACTACCCGCAACTCACATACCCCGATCTGTATGTCCTGGACGGCGGTTACAGTTCCTTCTTCTCTAAGCACCGCTCGCTGTGCTACCCGCAGAACTATGTCGAGATGTCTGCCAAGGAGCACGAATTCGCTTGTGAGCGAGGCCTCGGCAAGGTGAAGCAACGGTCCAAGTTGAACCGCGCTCAGACTTTTGCGTTCGGAGAGAATTCGCCCCAGATGGAAGACAGCCCGACCGGGCGGTGTCGCAATGGTCCCGGGGAGCGAAACCGATTTTTAGGATCTCCGTTCGCCGAAAGCCCAGCATCCAGTCGACTCTCCGGCCGTCGGATGCTCTCCTACTAAAGTTATGAAACCTTGGTGCAGTGCACCGTGCACCACGCAATGATGTTATGACCGACTTGGAACAAGCCACGCTGCGACCACTGATGGCCTTTCTTTTGCACCTGGCTCTTTCCTTCTGCCCTTCAGCGTTTCCTCAAAATGGCCAGTGCAGGTCAATTGGCTGAACGAGTGCATTTGTGAGTTTTGGCGCAAAAGGGTTTGCATCCTTGGGCTTTGGAGGGAGACGCATTGGACTTTGGAAAGGCAGCGTCTCACCTGACCAACCCGTTCCGCTCATTTTGATTCTCGGTTTCTTTCCTATTTCCTTGGGATGATTTGGTGAAGAAAGAATTGGATTCGGCACTTTTGATGACACGCCTACTCGGCTCGTTTTCATACCTGGAATGATGAATTTCACCATCGAACACGATACAGAATCCCCCCCAATCACGACTTATTTGAACCGACATCCCTCTCACCGATCACTCCCTTCGGACCTTTCCTATGTTTGTTTTGAACGAGGCCCCTTCAGGATAAATCTCATCTGCATCCGAAGGACTTTTCCTCAACCGATGATACCTCGCCGTCCGGCAATTTCCTTTTCAAAGGCTTTTCCTATTTTCCTTTACCGTCTTTAATCATCCTCCCGGTTTCCTGTACAGTCCCGAGGGAGTGTCACACTGCTCGCCGTACGAAGTATATATCGATGTACGGCTCGTCTTGTCAGACGATAATTTTTGTTGTGCGTGGCAGCCTCGTCGACACGGCGCTGACTTGGTTTGGATGAAGCATTCGGAATCAGACTAATAAGTGATGGACGGAGGCTGCCAGTGCAGCTGTACATAGATGAAGCGTTGGTCGGCTATTGGCCCGGCCATTAATGGAGGGGAGTTGAAGATTAGAGACAGATCTCCTTTGTTGGAATGAAGAAACGATTACTTTACATGTTTTCCGAGTAGTACGGAGCAGAAAGAGTAGATACCTGAGTACTAAGGCGTACACTCGGGGCCTTGTAGTTCGGGGTGGAACTGCAGCCTGAGGCATCAGAAGCGGGGCGGATGATCTCTTTGACTCGGAGATTCCGCCTCCGCTCCGCTCCTCTCTTTCTTCTGGACGTGCGCTTTACTGATTCACCTCAACCCAAGCCAACCGAATCTCCACCGGAGTCAATGCCACCGCGATGGACATTGATGACATTCTCGCCTCCGTGGACCGCCACAACCCGAGCACCCCGGAGTCCACGGCGCTGGACCACCAACTGCTGACGCGGTTCTGGGTGGCCGAGCGCGGCGTCTCGGAGCTGCTTCCCTGGCCGGGCCCATTGATGGACCGCATGATGGACCGCGTTCGACGACAGGTATTCCCGTTTCCCCGGTCTTTTCCTCCTTTCTCAGCCTCATCAGCCCTTCCACACCCCCCCCTTCCCTTCCAGTACAGCCCTATATCAAGCACTAATTTAAGATTTAGATCGAAACAATCGAAGACCTAGCCGCCACCTCCGCCGACCCCACCACCACCACCACCAATAATGCGAGCACAACCAACACCACCATAAACCTCACCCTCTCGATCCTGCAAACCGACCTCTCCCGCACCCAATACACCCTCCGCAGCTTGCTCCGGCAGCGTCTCGCCAAACTCACCAAACACAGCATGCACTACCTCCTCCGCATTTCTTCGCCCAGCCTCACCCAAGCCCAGTCGCAGTCGCAATCCCAGTCCCAAGAAACCGACCTGCGCCCCGAAGACTCCATCCCCACTTTGGGCCACGAAGGCGCTCACCCGCCGCTCTCGGCCCCCGAGGTCAAATTCCTGCAAGCCCACCAGCACCTCCTGGCCAAGCACTACGGGGACGCGTTCCTGGGGTCCTTCCCGCCGCAGCTGCGCCGGTTGGACGATAATGCCGGCGGGACGAGTATGGTGCAGGGGCCGGAGGTGCGGGAGGTGGTGTTTGTGCGGTGTCTGGTGGAGGAGGTGCGGGTGGTGGTGCCGCCGGGGGATGGGGTCGAGGAGGAGGTGGTGGGCGGGACGGCGATGCGGATGGGGGATGTGTGGGCGGTGCGGTGGGAGGGCGTTAGGGATGCGTGGGGACGGGGGGAGGTGGAGGTTCTTTAGTTTTCGGTTCTTTGGGGTTGAGAGGAGGGGGGACCGGAGGGGGAGTTGGGGTGAGTGATGGGGAAGAAGCTGGGATGAACTGCATTGTCTATGGATTGTTGGGATGGTTCAGGTCCAGGGCAGGGACACGATTGTGTGTGTCCCGGAGTATGCATGGTGGCGTTGCGAGCTCTCTTTTTTTGTTGTTGTGTTTCCCGATGATACCTACTGTATACACTGCATCTACATTTACTACATACTGCATACTACACAAGTGACAGACTTCATTTCAAGTGTCTGACTATTCTTGGATCGAATACTCATATGGCTCAGGCGCAGGCGCGGGCGTAGGCGTAGGCGCAGGTTCAGGCTTAATCCCACCACGCCTGCACACCTGCAAACTGAACCCGGGAAATGCATCAAACAAAGCAGAACCCCCATGCCGGTGGAAATGCAACAAGACAGAAAAAAAGTCTATATGAATCGCCTTTGCGCCCTCAACGCTAAGCTCAAGACCCATTTCGTTCCCTGCTCCTGCTCTCAAAACGCTTCGATGGCGATACTTAAAGCCCACACATAACAAAAAGCAAAAATGATATACTGAGATAATCGTTCCAATCATGCGACGTATCCGTACGTCGGAGGGTCTTCCTCCACACGCTCCAAATACTCGCGGTCAATCAAGCTCTCGATGCGCTTCTTGATCATGTTGACATCGGGCACAAACCGCGCAGACAGTTGACTCAGGACCTCCGTCATGAGGTTGGAATGGGTCAGGGATTTGCGTTGCCTTTCCCACAAGATTAGCACCGCCTTTATGGAATGATGGGCATGAGATGCAGTGAAACTTACTTCATGATCCGCACAATAGCGGCCTCGATGCTGGCGCCCCGCTCTTCGCCCATCTTCTTCTCCGTCTCCTTCCGCTGATCCTGATTCTCGACCTTGTTGGCGCTTCCGCTCACGACGCCGATGCGGACCTTCAGGAAGGGGCTCTGGAAGTCGTGGTTGAAGAAGAATTTGTCCGTGGGTTTGACGTCTCGGCTCATCGGCTCTTTGCGCAGGACCCGCGTCTTCTGCGCCACTGCAAGGGCTTGCAGGTTGCGAATGAGGTCATGGTCGGAGATCCGCGTGCGCTCTTTGATGTCGGTGTAGGTCAAGGATTCGCCCGTGGCCACATCGTTGAATAGAAGTAAGATGACCATGGCGTATGTGGAAACGTTGAGCTCGTGTCTTTGGATCTTGCCGTTCGACCGCGGGAACTCTAGGCGTATATCCGCAGTGCCCATGGTGGGCTGCCATGAGAGCTTGCGCCCGCTGTGTTTGCCCAAGTAATATTGTTCGAAGCTCTGTTTGACGCTCTCCACTTCTTTCGGATAGATGCAGCCCAGTTGCACGTTATCACGGGTGGCACTGGCCATGATCTCCATGGGCCACATAGTGCTAGTGAGGACGTTGATGTCCAAGTCGATGCGCTTGGTGTTGGGGTCACCAGTCTTCTTGGCGTGCTCTTTGTAGCTGGCCGTCAGATCCTCCGAGATCGTCATATCCTTGAACATTGCTTCCAAACGCTGTGTAAACTGATTGCCCACCTCCAGTTTCATCTTCGAGATCATCTGCCGTTCCGCGTCCATGCTTACCGAGCGCTTCATGAGCAGACGACGGGAAAGATGTTTCTTGTAGTACGCCTCGAACATGTCTTTGTCCTTGACATAGCGAAGAAGCGTGATGCCGTTGTCCAGCAACGAGTCAACTTCTGTTTCTGTTTTCCCCTTAATGCCCTTCTTCAGATTCTCATCAAAGAACAGAGACAGGTATTCCGAGCTGCGCGGTTCCGAGTTGATAAATTCCGAGAAACTGGTCGTAATCGCACTCTGCATGACATGGTCCGATTGGAACGAATTCTCCCAGATGTTGTCGAACTTCTTCTTCAGACCCAGAATCTCGTCCACCCACTTGATAGCAGCGGCAGTCTGCTGGTTGACCGGCTTCTCTTTCTCAGCCGACTTCTTTCCCTTGTCACTTTTATCCGCCGAGGACTTCTTGGGTTCTGCCGGTGTTTGTGCCAGTTCAATTGCCCCGGCGTTGATCTCCCTGCCCATTTCCACGATGCGCTTCTGGACCGCGGTTGTGAGAGGGGTCTTCTTCGGGTCAACTCGTGCGCTCAGCACATAGATACTCCGCAAGCTATCCAGGCGATCATTGTCGAGCATCTGCCGGACACCCGTGCCTTCCAAATTGACCACCTCCGCGATATTATTCTCGATCAGTTCTCGATCCAGAACCTCCTTGATCTTCGGCGCTGTTGACGATGCGAGGGTGTACGTGCACCGCTCCGTCTCTTCGACGAGGCGGTCTGTGGCAACCTTACAGAAAGTCGCGGCATCGCCCGTCTCCAGTAAGCGTCGTCCTTCCGCCTGGTAAAACCTTTTGCTTGCGTCCAGAAACGCCGGCTCGAATATGGTCAGGTAAAGCTTCGACGACTCCTCCTCGGTGATCGTTTCGTATAGCCCTTCCAGCATGGTGACGCAATGGCGGATCAATGGGCGGTCGATGATCTGCCCGGACCGTTCGAGCTGGATCATGAAAAGGATGGTCGACTCGAGCACATCCACCACCGTCGTCTTGGAATCCGATCGGATCGGCGACCGCAATACATGGTCTCGGAAGAGTGCCATAGCTGCCGCGTAAATCGATGGCTTGCGGTGGTCGGTCGACATGACTCGATCCTAGAACCCAGCAAGGTCAGCCACCAACAATCCAGCCTTCCGTCCGATCTCAATGTGTGGAACATACCATATACATGAGCACGTCCGTGATCATACCCATGCACAGCTGATGGTCTTCGAAGGCCTCCTTCATGGCGGCCAGGAACCTTTCACCGGCTTCCCGACGCTCATTGGCCTGATCTTGCACCTCCGCAAGCTCCTTCGCGAGCAGCAGGCTGGACGAGATTGCCGCCGTCACCCGGGTTTTGACCTCATCCTCGAGCCAGTCTTGTTCCAGTTTCTTGATCCGTTCGTAGAGGTCCTCTCCGCGCATCATCAGGACGATGTTATAGGAGTTACGGTACAGTTGCTCGAAAGAGAGGTTGGAGGCATCTTTGGTGTGAATCTTCTTCAACGAGGTCGAGAGATCGACCCAATTCGTCTCGAAATCGTCGCCTTTATTCGCTGTGAGGCCCTGTATTTCTCCCGGTTAGCGAAAGATGCCTGGTGGGCATGGTTGGGGTTAGACGGTTGTGGCCGCGGAATCGGTCGTTGATCGCCACCGGCACTGGTTCCGCGCGAGAGATAACTCTCGACTTGACGGTGATAGACGACAGAGATAATCAAAAGGTATATCATAATCAAATAGAAGAAAGACTCACCCTCCGCGGAGCGCGAATCCGCTGTCGTGCTCTCATAGCCATCTCGAACTTACGAAAGTTGTATACTCGAGCGTTGGCATGCGCGGGGCAAAGCTCCGGCCTGGATAAGATTTGGATAAGATTCCGAGAGGAGACAAAATCCCTAAGGAACGGAGAAAGTAGCTAGCGAGAGTGGCGAGAGAGGATCATCCAAGTGCCCAACCTAACCCAGCAATGAAAAAGAACAAGGGTATAATCAGGCAAGGCAAAGACAAAAAGCGCTCAAGCAAGTTAGCACATCCAGGTGATTTCCGAGCAGATCAAGCTCGAGTAAATGAGATATGGGATGGATAGATAGATAGTAGAGCCTCCGTAACGTGCAGGGCGGAAGGGCCGAGGGCCTGGAAGAACTTATCTCCGAGATAAACTCCGCGGGCGCGGAAACTCCGTCATTCTCTCGCTTTCTACAACCTGGAGAAGTATTCACTCTCAGATCTTTTTCTCCCCTTCGATTGTCCTTCACCTAACCCACATCACCTCATTCCCTTCCAAAGTCAAACATACACCAAGACAACAATGCGCTCAATCCAACCACTCTCCCACGGCCTCCGCGCTCTCACCCAACGCTCCCTCCCCCGCGCAGCAACTGTCTCCACACCCTCATGTGCTTCCGCATCATCGCGCCCTTTCACGCACCTCACCCTACGCTCACCACGTACACCCCCAATCCTCCCAAGACCCACAACCACCGCACTCCTCTCCGCGCGCCACAAATCCACAACCACCACCCCAAGCCAACCGACAGAGGAGAGTAGCAACAGCGACAGCGACAGCAACAGCAACAACACCCTCACCGACCGCCACTCCTCGGCCGCCACCGACGCGGCGCACGCGGAGCAGAACCGCCTGCGCCGCGAGCAGGAGCCCGCCTACCAGATCACCTTCACCTGCAAGCCGTGTGGCGGGCGCTCGTCGCACCGCATGTCCAAGCACGGCTACCACCGCGGCACCGTGCTGATCCAGTGCCCCACCTGCAGCAGCCGGCACGTCATCGCCGACCACCTGAACATCTTCTTCGACCAGAAGAGCACCCTCGAGGATATCCTGGCGCGCCAGGGGGATAAGCTGATGCGCGGGTACACCAATGGCGATATGGAGTTCTGGGAGAATGGGGAGGTGAAGGAGTCGGAGGCCGCCGCTGTTGCTGGGAAGGAGAAGGGTGAGGCTGGGGATGGGGATGGGCAGTCGCAGGGTCGGATTGCTTGATGCTTTGGCGCTGGGTTGCTGGGTCATGCGCGATTTGCGGTTTTTCGCGTGGGTTGTGCTGGATGATGAAGGGAAGTGGAGGAAAGGAAAAGTTGGGGTTGTGGTTTTCTGCTGGAGGTATTCGGAAAGCGTGGTGCTAGAGGCGTTTTGATCGTGTCTGTCTGGGACTTGTTTTGGCTGTCTACCTGCTTCTGTGGACAGAGAGTTTGGGAGGTTCAGGTGTAACAACACTCTGCTCTACAAACATACTTAGGGCTGGACTCTGAAGAAGATGAAGCGAAGAAGAAAAGAAATCATGTAATATAATGTACTAGAACGAAAAAAAATCTCCTATCCTCTCCTTCAAACGCCGTGGACTTTTTATAGGGCAGCTCCAGAAGATGTGAACAAGAAGAAAAGAAATCAC